ATTTGAAATGGAATACACCTAGTATCATTTCCCCCGCTAAAGTGCATCGTATTATATTACGTTATAGGGAAAGCTTGCTAATAATTGCTCTAGTTATTCCCCAATTATTCTCGCTTCTTTTCTCGAATGGTGTAGTTGCACCCTTCGCGCTTCATCTAGGGTAGTCAGTCATGGTCACGAAGGTCATAGGCGTCATCCATCCTTTTTGGTCAACTAATTTCATGCATTTTCTAAGGCAGTTTTGACAGAAAGCATCTTACTTTGTGCCGTTGCACTGACCATCACATTGGCTGCAATTAGTTTATGGAGACACAGTGGCATGAATTTCCGTGTTTTTTTTTTTGAATTTTGAAAAGTAGTCATTTGCTTATTTCCGTAAAATCTTCTGGAATTCTCCGAATTTTAGAGTTTATCTCATAGCGTGCCATAGCTTCCACAATGGCGGCTAAGCTCCGTGGAAGCCGGCTGGAAGCGGAAGTCGATCGAGCGAGGGCCGACAGTATGTTTTGCCCACAGAGAGGCCGTTTCAATGTTTACATCGGTTAAATTCCTTTTAGGTAATTGGAAACGTCTCTCCGAATTACTTCAGTCAATGAAGTCTAAACATTCTGGCATGGATGACATGGTGGAATTAGTTGAAGCAGAATTGGAGTTGGAGACATTTTTAGAACAACAAGGAGGTGACTTCTATTCGGAGAAAATCTGTTAGTCTTTGCTTTTCGCGTATGGACTTTATTTCAGAAGTTCTTCGGCCTCGACATGAATACGCAAATGGATTAAGAGAGGCAGAAATGCTTTTGAAGGAGACGATTGACCGACGCGATGGTGGAATTATCTTAGAGGCACATTTATTATTAGCAAAGCTGCACTACGCCACCGCGGAATATGCGGAAGTGAGACATTTTTTTGCTATTCACCTTTATTTTAACAATGTGTTTAAGCAAATATAGGAGCATTGCCATGAAATAATTAAGACTACAAGAACTAAACATTCATCCTTAACCTGCTCCAGTCCTTTTCTTCTCCTTCCTATGAGAGTAAATACCTGTATTTAGGCTTTGAAAGATATTGAAAACTCTGGAATGGAACTTGCAAATACGCAATTCCGAACACTGCGGGCATTGCGTTTGGTCGCTGAGGTTTATGCCATCAAAGGTACAGTTAAAAATTATCTCTCCTAGTTTTGTATTATGTTTTTTTGACGGAAATAACGTGAGTTTTTCTTTTTCGTGCTGTTCTAATTTCCAAAATGAGGTTAGTTTTTTGGGATAAGGAAAAGCATTTTTCCCTTCCAGGAATCCATTTATTTATGACATGTGCCGATTTGATCTCCTTTGTGACCAAAAAATACGTTAAGGCTTTTGCCTGGAAGCACTAGAAAGCAATGACAAAGCTATGGATAAGATGAGATCCTTGTTTTGTTATGAAAAAGCTGCTGAGCTAGCCATCCTTTACGTGGGAGAGATTGAGAAAAACATCGTGGGCGGAACTGGAAAAG